CATAATTAACAAATTTTTCAAAATGTGTAAGAAATATTAACTATTTCTTATAAAACCACTACTGAGATATGTATATTTATGCAATAGAATGGACACTGTGTGATGTACTTAATTTTCACAAATAAAGTAGGAGCTAGAACTGAATAGATTTTATTTTTCTCACATTTAATCAGCATGACTCATAAATCATAACGTACAAACCATTTTCTTATCCTCAAAATGACAAAGAAAATAAATCAGCGGACAATGTAATATCTACGGAAGCCGGTAGGTGCCAGGTAGAAAAATATTTTATCTGGCGGCCGCCACATAATTTCTGGCAGCCGCCAGATAAGTTATCTGGCGGCCGCCAGATCTTTTTATCTGGCTGCCGCCAGAAAATATTTGGCGGCCGCCAGATAAGTTTCTGGCGGCCGCCAGTTATTTATCTGGCGGCCGCCAGATAAAATATTTTTTCTACCTGACACCAACCGGCTTCCATAAATATCAAAACTTCACTGAATATTTTAGAAATTAAAAAAATACAAAATGTATATTTTTAAATATAATAACATGTTTAATTAATTACGATTTGAATCGGCTGCAGAGTTTTCCTCATGACAGTCACAAAAATATCAAAATTGATTACTTTCAGAATGTCCCAAAGCACCACATAACACTGCATATGATTTATGTCCCATCAATAACTGCCAGTGAGTAGTCCATTTCGAATGCAAAAAGATAATTTTTTAGGTATTCAAAACTTGAGTAGTCTATTTCGAATGCAAAAAGATAATTTTTTAGGTATTCAAAACTGCCCTAGTAGTCTTCACAAAATTAATTTTCTAAGTGTAGATGTAGATTATGGAACAACAATTGCACTTGAAGATGACACCATGTACTTTGATCTGGACTACTTATTTAACCTGCAGGAAAGAAAGTCACATTTGAGTAAAAGTACGCTACTCATTTAAATTTTAAATTACCTTGATAAACATAATTAATCAAATTTTGGTGAAACTATGCTGTTACAAATATAGATGTTTTAACGATATTCAATATTTACTTTTCTCCAGCAACTCTATTTATGAACGAATTCAAAATATCCCAAGTCAACTTTGTTTGCATTGCTCATCGTGGTTAATTAATGTAAAAAAAAAGAAAACAAAACTTTAATTGTAGTAATAAGATGCCTTTCCGATGCATTTCCCAATTTCGTCATGGTTATCCCTTAAGTTGTCAATAACTTTCTTTGATACATCTCTATTACCTTATTTGTGATTTTCTTTGTTTCGATAGTCACTCAAATTAACGTTCAAATATATATGTGCCATTTCTGGGAAGATAACTCTGCACTTAACAGTAAAACGTGTTTAATTTCTAAACGCATTTAGATATAGAACATGTTTAGGCATAGGCGTTTAGTCGTTAAACATAATTCTAAACACGTTTAGATCTAAACACATTATAGAAGTACATTAGTAATACAGTGTATCTGGGGGTTGTCTGAGATACATGCACATGTTTGATTTTGATAAAATATATATCATATCTGATGAATTTTGTAATGTATAAGGGTCGTTCAATAAATAATGCAAAAAGTCATCTAAAAAAGGAAAAGCATGTAAAGCAGATTCTTCATGCTTTCAATCTCTCAAAGCTTTCTATGTTTACATGTATACATGTCGTACATATGTAAGTCTTTATACCTAGGGCCAGAAAACCTCAAAAAACTTTCCTTTCTTCAACATTTTATTTATTACTCTATGCTTATTTGCTCCAGTACTTGCAGGTAAAGAAAAACTACTCTAGGGACAGGCATATGGTATTGCTTTGCAGGAAATCTGCGTATATACATGTTTTACTGGACCTCTTGAATAAAAAGAAAAAATTACTTAATTACACATATTTGGAGCCCTTGCTTTTCTTTGCAATAATTGGGCGACAGCTTTCTCTTTGATTCCAGATTTTATTCTTGATATTCCTTTTTGGCTTTAAAAAGTGCACCCATGTTTTGTAATCCATCACTCAAGTATATCAAATCTTCGTTTAGTAAATATTTTTATTTTTAAATAGACCAATGGCACATGTTGTGAATGTTTTCTCTGAGGCCTTTGTAAGGAAATAAGGCACCTGTTGGATAAAATTATTGTTAAATTTATTACATTTGTCAAAACTCTATAAACTATTGTGACGAGGAAATGCTTAGTGTCTTAGCAATATCTATCAATGTTATTCTGGCATTTTCAGATGTCATGTTGCTCACAGCAGCGACATTTTTGGTGCCCCTGCAGATTTCGATAGACCATTTTGACTGTAATCTTTAATTGTATTTTTATTACTTTGAAATTTCCGAAACTATTTAAAACCTATACAGCGTGAAAGACTAATCTTTCCACGCATCAAAATCATATAGTTATTACGGGTTACTCAGCTATTTTTGCAATGAAGCGCACTTATCACATATGCCCTGATTTTCCCTTCCTTGACAGAGATAATTTTCAATCAGTTTTCAGCTCAGCGCAATGGCCATGATAAGTTTAAAAGTAAATTCCTTTGCAAGAACAATAGGAAAAAGTTCGGCTTTTCTGTGATTAGGACTTTTTAAAAAGACTTTTCAACTGTTTAGAAATAAAATCAAATGAATCTACATTTATTATGATAAACTGTATTTTGCAATACTTATTGAATGGCCCTCTTACTATCGATACCTATGCAGCAACATACCCTTATCACCTGCATACCGGGTTTATATCTCTCAGTAGATTCGATACTCCAGAGTATGCTCTACGTATGAACAATTATTTAAACGAGGTAAGTTTTTGACAAACAAGTTGATGAAACAAGAATATAAGCAGTCTCGTTTAAAGTCATCATTTCGTAAGTTCTATGGTCGATACAATGACCTTGTCAACATATACAATCTATCATTAAGTCAAATGTTGACTGACTATTTTCATACTAATTGTTAGGCCATTATCACTGAATTTTCGACGTATTTTTCTTATTTCCCGATCATGACAAGGAGCTCTCGGCCGGTGTGTTCGGTTGGAAGGGGGTGATCACTCCTCCATAGCACCTGAACCCTCCTCTGATGTCTTAAAGGTCCGTGTTTGCTCGCTCCTATTTTGTAATGTTAAATGGACTTCTGAGCTCGAATACTGTTCGTTATCTCCACATATTTCACAAGCTGAATTGATTGATTGCATGTTGTTTTACGTCCCATTCGAGAATTTTTCACTCATATAGAGACGTCACCAAATAACGGTGAAGGGCTTCAAATTTTAACCTTTACTCGGCACTCAGGGTCATTGAGCAGTGAGGGTTCTTTATCGTGCCAACGACTACCGTTACACGGGACCTCTGCTTTAAAGGTCTCATCCAAAAGACCCATGACTTTTACGTCTAATGCTGGGAGCTTGGCGGAAGGAACGAGTTGAAATGTAAACATGAAATCGTAACTATTTAAAGCAGTCTTCCTAGTAGACGATCAACAATCTGATGACATAATCAAATTTCATGTTCATGTTATACAGATTGTTTCATTATATCTGTCCCCATTACTTGTAGAGAAACCATCAGATTAATTTAGAAGGTTTTAATACATTCAGAAAATTTGAGTTCAACATTTTTTCTGGTATATGCATTCTTATTTTTCTTTTTCAATGTTTTGATATACCTATCTTAGATGAAAATCAATTTTTTTATAATGTATTCTATATGACGTCGTGTTTGTGATAGAATGAATTAAAAACAATTTCTGGTCACTACAGAACTAATCCTGTATTCTCAAATTTATTTTTCGTGGCATTAAGATTGTTTTTAAATATTTTTTTTCTCTGACCTATATACTACTTTGTTTATCCTAACAATAGTTATTGGTGGATTACATTCACAGTAAAAATCCACGACTTCAACACTTCGTTTTTAAGGAGGTTGGATCCGTCTATAAAAGGTAATGAGAATTTTTTATCAAGTATATTTTTAGAATCTACACACATAGCTTAATTAGAAATTAAAAATCAAAACAATAAAATGGGCGTCAGGGCGCTTCTTTTGGCGCTACAGAACATTAAGTTTGACCATTTTGTACTGTAACTACTTCTAACACAAAAATCAAATTTTCACACACTCACACACACCTCAACTATTTTTTTTTTCAAATTACTTTGCCTGGGAAAATATTTGACTGTTCTACGCCCAAAAATGTCATTTTTTTGCATTAAAAGTTTAACAAGCAATAAAATCGTTTGAAAGTATTGACATTTAACTGAAGTTTATAAAAATGGATAAAAGTTTCTTACATATTCAGAAAAATATATATTCAAAAAAAAATTAAAAGTGAGGATCTTTGATGTAAATTTTTAGCTATAACTAAAAAAGCGTTAATTATTAGCTTAGATTTTCACAATATATTTGCTATACATGTATTTGTCAAGTATGATGATGAAATTTATGACAGTTTGTTTAGGCAATATATAATTTAAAACCAGCATAAAACAGTTCACGGTACAAAATAACTCTGTCTTCAGGCTGCATGGAGAAAAAAAGGAATCCAAACTTACCAATTCTTTAAATACTTCGAAAGATAAAAAAAATGATCATTTTCTTCTAAGAAAAGAACTTTCCGCCACAAAATATACATGTAGTTCCTCGCTTGATGCTTTTTGGTAAGGACATAAATCATTGGGTTTTGACTAGATATAGCTTAATTGGCATTATAAAATCCAAATTTATTGTAAGAACTAAACATTTATGTAGAATTTTTTAAATAGGGGTTAAGACAAAAATTTGCCCAAAATCTCAGGAGCGAACATCTATAAGACGGACATATCGATTTTTTGTGCTTTTTATGGCATCATATCTGAAATCATAACATAAAAATGGCGGACTTAAGACTTTTGTTTGTTTAATTATTAAAATTAAAGATTTTTTAGGCAATTGTAATAGAGACAGATATTTTGCAAACAACTAGTAATTTCCGTAAACCCATTCTTAAAATACAAATTGACAATATACACTTATCTTGTGCAATATTAATTTTTATTCTTTATTTGATTGCTTTTATGAGAAAACAAAGAGCTGAAACTAGAGGCCAATCAGGGATCGAAGGATCCTGGAGGTCTCTACAACTGAAGCTCGTCGGGTAAGGGGACTCTGGGCTGTTGATGTCACTTCCATAAACTCGTCATAGCAAATTTCTTTATATTCCGATCTACTTTCAACCATTTGGAAAACATCTTGTAACTCTTCTGCCAACTCGTTCATGTACTGTAGCAAAGCTCGCAGACCATCATGATCACAATAAGCCGAGAGTTTTGTCACGGTGGCACTGATACCCGACTTCATTTCACTGAAATTATATATTTTTTAGTGAAACTTTCAAATCAAGGCTCCATAAGTTTCGACAAATAATGATGAGAGACATGATAATATTAAGCAATTATTAACCTGCATACGTCCGAATCATTTGTTTTCATTTTAGTCAAAAGAGAAAAACCTTCAAACACCAGGTCCTCAAAAAACATTTTCTGGACTTTTTCATTATTCATACAGTCAATCAATTTGTCCAACCCTGCAAAGAATTGAACATGGCAATAAAATAGTAGCACAAACATGGAATTTATTCAAACAGCTCAATATTATTTTTTTTTCAAATACAAATATTATTTAAACCTAAATATTTATACATTTTGTCAATTAAAATTTTCATATATACGAGGGTTGTCCCTGAAAAACGTGAAGAATTTCAATTTTTTTTGTTCCACTAATATCATAAAGTTAAGAAATGGCATGCATCACTATCAATATTTTTTTGAATATTAAATAGAAATTTCAACAAAATATTTCAATAAATAATATTTTCCTCTTAGTTAAACGAATCTTACATAATAGTTGTCGGCGCAACACCGACGAAGTCAAAACGTAATATACACGGAGGTGTGACCAGTCGGTAGGGGATGCTCACTCCTCCATGGCACCTGATCCCACCTCTGATGTTTTGGAGGTCCTTGTTTGCTCTGCACCTATTTTGTAATGTTTATGGACTTTTGAGCTTGAATGCTGTTCGTTATCTTCATATATTTCATTTTTACCACTGAACATGTATCTCTGCTGGTGGACAGTCTGTCCCCGAGGATACTTGTCGTTCTGTATCTATTCATTCATAAGTACACAGAATAACGAAATGATACTGGCAGACGCGTCGCCCAGTATAAAAAGGCGTCACTCTTTTGAGTCTATTAGGGACACAGACTCAAGGAGTTCATTCGGTGCCCCTCGGATAATCCTCAGGGATATTAAACATATGTCATATATACAGTCTTCAGATTACCAGTTTTGGTATAAAACCTTTAGTTCATACAAAAAATTGAAAGAATGTAAGGTTTCTATTAGAGATATATTTGAAGATTCCTTTTCCGATCCCATGTCTTCTATTTCATAATGTTCTGCGAAAAACTGTAAAACCTGCACAGCTATGTTGAGGCTTTCCGAAGCTTTAGAATGTGCTCAAAACATAATATGTCAATGCGAGGTCGGTTTTGGTTTTAATTTATAAGTATTGAACTTTAGTACTTCCAATTTATATAGAGGGTTTCCTCGGCTATATATTAACACATTTGTTATGATATCACATGCCTTTTTTGATCACGTGACGGTTATTTATTAATTTTTGAAGTGTTTCATATAAATTGTTTCGGCACAGCTGATTAACACAGTAATTATTAACATTTTGTTATATAGATAAACTCATTGTATCCTTGTGTATCCGAAATGTGCTTGGGAAAAGTCATAGTATTACTTGGGTACAAAATATTTCCTGAGAAATTCAACTTACCTACAAATTTGAGGGTATTTTCCACACAATATCGTAATCTGTATTAAAACAAAGCCAACACACATTTTTCCCAAGCACGATTCAGTTAGAGAACAACCTCTTCTTACAGAATTCCACAAAAATTCTCAGATTAATCCTAATTAATCACCTGCGTCAGACTCTTTTATACACACAAAATAAATTCTACCTCCAACCACGGGTATAAAACAGAGTACATTTCAAAAGTATATTTTTCATAAGCATTTGGAATATGCTAAATTTCAATCAAGGGTAGATAAGCGGTGTAATTTTAAAATATTCGGACATATAAGACTTAAGAAACCTCTAACAACCCGTGAATTTTGCAATAGCTATCTAGTATTTTACATGCAGTTTGAAATAAAGTGTAAAGTTCATCACACTCTCCCCGTCATAACATCTCAAGTCTGCAGTGACCTGTCGTCATTTTCCATTATGACGTCATATTTTGGTAGTTCAGAGATGTGAAGGCACAGAGTGCACTGTGATATTCTACGGGAAGCCTTGACCTACCTGCGTGTGACATTTTGATGACTAACACTTCTTTCACCAGTAATCTTACTGGACACAGCTTCTATACCAAAACTTGGGAAAATCTTAACTGCAAATCTACTAATGTTGTCTACGGAATAGAATGTAATTTTTGTGGACTTGTTTATGTTGGTGAAACCAAGGGTTCACTTCATAAAAGAATATCGGGTCATAGATTTCAAATCAACAACGGGGGCCAGCAGCTTCTCTACAAGCACTTTAATATACCTGAGCGTTCAATTTTGTCAATGAAAGTTAGAATTCTAGAAAAAAATATACTACCATACAAACAGTCCATCACTGAGTACACCTTTCCGTAGACAACGAGAGGAATTTTGGTTTAGAAAACTAGGGACAGCCTTTCCCTATGGATGTAATGACAATGTCGATAGTATTGGAAATCTTTCCAGTCCACAGTGTAACAGTGTAAATGCGATGGGACTTTTTAACCAGACACAGAGACGTAAGCGTAGTCATGGACATGGGTCTTACAATAAATCTTTAATACACGATGTCCCTTTTGATTCATTATTACCTTACGTAAATCAGCAGTAAGGTCTACATCATATTCGCTCCAAACTTTACTCTGTCCCTTTGAAACTTTTACATAGTCTTCTTGAAAAGGTCAAGGAAAATCCATTTTTTGATTCCTCGACACCAGAATATAGGCTCGGATCTGTGATTATGGATATTGCAAATCATAGGCTTTTTAAACCCCCACGTTTTACTGAAGAAGAAGCAGCTAAAACAGTCCGTTTTTTCCTTAAACTTCAATATGCCAACAAAGGAATTGACGCGGTTAATATAAGTAATATTCTTAATCACAAAAGGGTCCAGTCTTGTATTCCACCATATTTCAAGTTAAAGACTATACCTTGTATTTCCTACAAATATACATCGACTTTTGCTTCCAAACTTTTTAATTACAAGAAAACTTTACAGTGCCTGGATATCGAATATCTGAAACATAATCTTCAATCGTGTTCATTTCTTCTTCACCCTATAACTAAAGTCCTGCTGGACACGTTATTACTGGTGACGTAAATATAGTTAATAATGAGGACCTTAGATCACTAATTTTAAAAGGTCCTAAATATAGGGAACCCCGATCCTTCAACTGGCGTCGGAATGTCATAAATATTATGGATTCTGTAGAGGATTACGCAAGGCGATGGGCAAGACATGAAAAAGAAGACCTTGACACTTTGTCAGAATGGATTAAATGTATCAGATGTATGTTAAAATCGCGCATTAAAAGATTGAGGGGCAATATGAGAACTATCTATCCTTCTGTATTCAATAATCCAGAAGTGAAAAAAGAATTAGATAGATTACATGATCAGTATGTACTGGTCCCTGCCGACAAAGCAGGTAAAAACATTGTCTGTGTTTGTAAGGCTTGTATTTTAGAGGAACTTGGATTTAATTCTACAAGTGGTAATCCAACTTATACTCATAGTTCTCTTTCTAAGGAAGAAATTCTTCAAAATCATTGTCAGTTTTGAATATTTTTAATATTCCAAACAACCAAAATGAATTTAAATTACCATATCTATACTGGATTCCGAAACTTCATAAAAATCGTTACAAACAAAGATACATAGCGGGCTCCAGTAAATGTTCAACCAAGCCTCTTTCTTTACTCCTCACTAAGATATTAACAGTAGTGAAGGGGAAACTTCAAGAGTGTTGTGCAACAATATATTCGAGCAGTGGTGTAAATCAGATGTGGATACTTAAAATTCCAAAAAACTTTTGGAAAATTTGAAATCACAAGATTTTACCAAAATCAACAGCTTAAAAACTGACGACTTTCAACTTTATACACAACCATTCCCCACGATAAATTAAAATCCAGGCTTTTTGATATCATTGACAGCTGCTTTTTCAATAAAATTGGAACTCGTAGATTTACTTACCTTGTCATTGGTCGTTTGCAAAATTATTTTGTTAAAAAACATTCTGATTGTACACACAAATACTCTGAAGTTGACATTAAAAAGATGCTTGAGTTTCTGATTGACAATATCTATGTGGTTTTTTGAGACCAGGTCTTCCAACAATCTATTGGAATTCCCATGGGTACCATTTGCGCCCCGTTATTAGCAGATCTTTTTTGTATTCATATGAAGCAGAATTTGTCAAAAATCTTATACGTGATAAGAAGAAAACGCTTGCTGTGGCCTTCAACTCGACATTTAGATATATCGACGACGTATTGTCAATTAACAATTGTTATTTCCAGTTTTATGTCGATACGATATATCCCGGTGAGCTTGAGATAAAAGATACTACAGAGTGTGACACACCTGTTTCATATTTGGATATTTTACTTGAAAAAGACGTTAATGGTAATCTAACAACCAAGCTTTATGATAAACGTGGTGACTTTAACTTTTCAATCGTCAACTTCCCTTACTTATGCAGCAATATACCTTCATCACCTGCATACGTGGTTTATATCTCTCAGATGATTCGATACGCAAGAGCATACTCTACGTATGTACGATTTCTAAAACGAGGTAAATTATTGACAAACAAGTTGATGAAACAAGAATATCAGCAGTCTCGTTTAAAGTCATCATTTCGTAAGTTCTATGGTCGATACAATGACCTTGTCAGCAAATACAATTTATCATTGAGTCAAATGCTGACTGACGTTTTTCATACAAAATGTTAGGCCATTATTTACACACTGAATTGTCGACGGATTTTTCCGTTATTTTTCGATCATGACAAAGAGCAAACGGCGGGTGTGACCGGTCGGCAGGGGATGCTCACTCCTCCATGGCACCTGATCCCACCTCTGATGTTTTGGAGATCCATGTTTGCTCTGCACCTATTTTGTAATGTTTAATGGACTTTTGAGCTTGAATACTGTTCGTTATCTCCATATATTTCATGTAGCGTTTGTAGATATGTTCAGGAATTATGCCTCTTTTCTTTAGAATTTTAAAGATTTTATTTCGATTTTTCTTTGGTATGGAAATTAACCATCTTGGACATACTATAAGCATCCAAAGATCGTAAAATTGATTCTTTAAAAGACAACTTCCCAGCCCGATCATGAACTTCTAGAGTAGCTCAATCTCCACGTATGACAGCATGCTTCCGACCTTTCAATTTGTTATTTTTGGAGGGTCTACAAAGCACCTCTACCTTCGGATAACTAGTGTAATCATCCTTGAACCTCTTGTGCCAGGTACATTTATAAAAGAGTGTCCGACACACCTGTTTGTGTCCTTCCATTGTTTCCATCTCTTTTTCAAAATGAGCAGGAGTCATAATATACTCAATACAGTACTGAATTATAACTGGTGCGCCGCAAAAACGTCCGACGTCGCCATTTTTGACAATATTTAACGGAAAATGTTTGTACATTTAACGTCATATTGTTGCCGTTTATTATGTTATATTAATGAATTTTCACATATTGGTACTACGGATCATAGCATTTTTATCGATGTAAATTTCGTCATATTATATTTTCTTACAATCTGGAAATAAACGAAACATTAATGGCAATGCCATTTATAAAAGTGAAAAAAAAAATGCCGTTCGCCGACCACCGATATTTAACACCCTTTAAATGGCGTTTCTATTTGCATATGCTATTACAACCTCATAAAATTAAGTCAAAATAAAGAAAATATTATTTCCCAAAAATGTTCAAAAAATGAATAATTTTGGTTAGGTAGTTTAGGAGCTGAAAAGTTCGCGTTTTTCTGAGACAACCCTCGTAGATATCATTTAATTACAAAAACCTGTATTTTGGATCCCTGTCTTACTCTATTTTTTTCCCTTCAGTTTTGCTGTACTGATACATATACATGTATGTATGTTTTGAAATTGAATCTTGCTTGATCATTTAAGTAGGTATAAATTGTATCTAAATACATGTATATTACCTTACTGTTTTGCCAATGTTATCCAATATCAAAAATCTCTACGCATGATGTTTTATAGAAAAATAAAGCTGGATTATACTTTGAAACTGTTGAGAGTTCCTAGTTCTGCTGATTTTAACAATAAGACAATTGTTTCTTTTGATATCAATGAAAGTGTAAATTAAATTGAATTTGATCATCATGTCTCCCAAAAAGACATTTTTTTTAAAAAAATAGCATTGACTTTATTGAAAGTATTTTTTCTTACCTTAGTTCAGTTTAATACTAAAATATTAAATACAGCTATTACAATTCACAACCTATCTTTCAAATGATCTTTGTTTTTAGTTTAACGTCCCTCTCAAAAAAATTTCACCAATATGCACCAATATGCATAAGGAGACGCCAAATTAAGTTCCTTACTCGGCACTCAGGGCCATTGAGCAGTAAGGGATCTTTTTTCATGCCAGCACCTACTACTACAGGGGACCTCGGTTTATACAATCTCAGACGAAGGACCAATCTCCATGTCCCGCAGTTGTATTCGAACCCTCGACGTAAGGATTAACTCCTCACTCTGCGACTCTAGAACAAACGCTCTAACCACTGCTCCACGCGGACGATTCAAATGATCTAAGAATCACCATACTTACTATCAGCTTTGGTACATGCGATGTTTTCATAAGCTTCAAAAAATTCCTTCACTCTGTTTCGATACTCTATGGGAATACATGGATCCAACCCCGTGGGTACGCAAGCCTTGTACATGTAAAAGTAGCTAAAAGAGTTACAAAGAGTTCCATCAAGTTAGTACTACCTGTACTTGTAAGAGGAAATATATGAACTTGATTATCTCACTGATATATTTTAAAGTTCTAGTTATCCTGTAAAATTCCTTATCAATTTCCAACTAAACTATTGTTTTTTTACTTTAAGTTCTTTACATTATGGACACAAATTTAAGACTATGTAGAATAATGAAAAACTTTTCCTGCTCTTTGAATGCAATTTTCATTATCCTGAAAACTCTCCTTTAAAATAAATGGAGTTAAAATCAAATTCAAACAAAACTGCTAAATCACTCGAGACAAAATTTTAGACAAGGCAGTAGTTGATGATGACAATTTTCTTGAGGAAGCACACATTCGAATTTCGGAGTCTTTTCTTGTAGCAGACAGTAATTTTTACTAAGGACAAATAATAGAACCAAACTGCACATCTTGTTTACATCTCTGAACCTATTCAATACTCAAGTGCATGCGCTGAGTTCGAGGCAGGATACTGACGTCAAAAAAATAATCTTACAGGGCTTTCAATAAACTTATTTCGAGTCAGTATTTCGTAAACTTTGGTCGTTATATTGACCTTGTTAACAAGTTAAATCTGTTATTTGATCGTACATGTATTTTGACTGAAATATTTCATACCAATTGTTAGGCCCTTGTTTTTATAATAAATTTGACTTCAGAATATTCCGTATACCTGATCAGAACATAGGGTTTACGGTGGGTGTGACCGGTCAACAGGGGATGTTTACTCCTCCACACCTGATGCCACTTCGGTAATTTTTGGGGGTCCGTGTTTCTACTCTTTACAGATTTGTATTGTTTGTAGATTTTTTTTTAGATCGATCATTGTTCTTCATCTTCATTTTTATTACATACATGTATGTTAATGTAGGTAAATAAGAAAGTTCAGCAGCATAAGATTTCATTTTTCACTTATTCACCTTTTCTACGTAAAGCTGAATTTTTTTAGCATTTTATTTTGCTGTTAAAATGTGTTGTTATGATAAATCTGTATGTAATTAAAATATTTATGATCAATAAGACTAAATGAAAGTATTAAATTTTCAGAAGAAAGATGTCTTCTGTACATTGTAATGTATAGTATTATAGAAGAAATTAATATTGTACAGGACGACAATAATGTAATTTTGCTTTAATCAAAGATTATAAATAGTTCTTTAATCGCAAATATAAGCAACGGAAGTTTATAAACGTTCTTTTTTTCTATCAGAGAAAGAGTTAATTACAATATTGCAACAGAAATTTCATATTGCTGTAAATGAGTATATGGAAAAAAATACTCGAACCATCAGAAAAAGTGGGAGTCATTCTATTGCCAATACACTAGATATCAAATAATGCTATTAACTATTTAAATCCATGATAAAGCATTAAATGCACACATGCTTAGAACATCATTCATTCCTGTCATATTTTTTCATTGAATTTCAATATGTAAAATTAAGTATTGATATGACTAGAATGCAAGAATAAGGATTGATTGATAGGAAAACTACGTTATAAAAAAATAGAACTTCTGTGATTTAACCAACCTGCATCCAAAACTAAAGAGCCCGGGTTTGAAGCGAACTCGGAATCCCTCTGGTCCAGATGTAAAATTTATTCTTTCTCTCAGTTCTTTATTAATATCAATCTTACTGTCCATGCAAACTTCAGTAGCACATTTATTATGGGTGGCTAGAATTTAAAAAAAAAAAACGTAATTTTTGTTAAAAGTATAAACAAGTATACTTAATTTATTAATGCTATTTTACTGTATATATTAAGTCACTGAAAAGCCCGTGCAATTAGAGAGAGAGAGACTCACCTTCAATGAAGTCAAAATAAAATGTTAGAGTGAGAACTGCAGTGAACAATCGAAAAGAAACCATTTCGAAAACGAGTTTTCTATCCCCTGTTCAGTTTTTCATAGGCATATGTAACTTGATACTAGTTTCCTAACTATATATCTAGGACTATTAAATCTAGAATGTGGTGAGAAATATAGCTAATTTACCTATTTTCATTGCTAATTGGACGTTTTGATCGCATTTGTTGAATTAAAGTAATTTTCGTACAATTTTAAATTATTATGAACTGCATTTATTCGAAACTGTGATACAGTAATTCAGCTAATAGGTATGGCTATTATGGAATATTCTGTAAACTAAATTAAAAAAGGCTAGACATATAATAGTGTACAGCTAGGTGTTGTCAAAAGGTAAACATAAAAACATTTTTTTTTTTGAATATCAATCAATCAGTCAAAAACTTTAAGAATAAACCTTTCCTCTCTAGTTTTATAATGATTTAGTGTAATGTAACATATTTTGTTTTGTAGATATTTTTAATGGTTTTGACGTTGAAACCCGAGGCATCGTTTAGATTTTTCCCCGATACATACTTTTCCACTACACTAAAGAAATTGGTATATTCCATTACATAATAATGAGAACCTTTGTATTTTTTATTGTTTGATTATGCTTTTATAGTATAAAAGCCACCTTTTTTATTCTAAAAGGTGCACAATTTTTCACTGAGAAAAATGGCAGTATGAGGTTGCTTGCATTATTACACGTACTTGATATAGAATTGCAGCATAGCACAAGAAAACGTGAGAACGAGGGTATGTTATATTCCCAAATTTTTACATATTAAACGAATTACGTGCGACATGGTCCGGCAAGTTCTACTTAAAAGTAAGCATCAAAATAACACGACATCTTTCGAAAACACATGTGCCTGAAATCTTTGGTTGCAAGATTCTCGTTTAATACATGCACAGGTAAAAAAGATCTTTTTTTATCTCTTAATCTAAAGAAATGCAGTATGTGTACCATCATAAGAATACTCAAAATTCATTCTATGAGTACTGTAAAACTCGTTATTGGAGAACAGATAAGTCGAATTTTTGGATGTAGCGAAGTTTTGTGTTTACCCGGCAAAATTCAAAACAATTTCTTGTAAAATTGAACAGCCAGGAACTTATAACGGATAAAATGATATAATTCAGTTTACCGTAGAAGTTAAAAATGGCTTACATGTTTTACAACGAATTCTTTAGAACTTTTTAAAAACTGAAAATATTAAGATGATATTAATCATAAGTTATTGTATTCCAAATTCAATTCATCTGAAAATTTTGTACCCAAATGTAAGTTTTGTATTCAATTCTTTCTTGAACACATTCGGTTGTCTAACTTCAGGAAAGCATGCATATTGCGAATTTTCAATTTATATTTTAACGAATTCATTATTCATATATCACAAATAACGGATCACAGGTCCCCTAAACTTCGCTATAACAGAGTTTAATTGTACTGCATACGCAATACCAATACACCACTTTGTTGTTTATTTCCCCTTAAAATTTTAGTTCTAAGTCCAAAGCCCATCATTCCAAAAAAAAACAAAAAACAAAAACAATTTGAACATACAGATAAACAGAAAGTCAGGCAGACGGACGGATGGATTGATTGATTGATTATTATTGTTTAACGCCAAGTCGGCAATATTTCAGCCATATTTCGGCGGACGGATGGAAGGACATTCTACAATGTGCTTAGTCACCTAAGAAATGATTATTTTGCCAAAGATTTCCATTTAGCGGAAAATCTACTATCATGTCCTGTTATACTTCAGAAGAATCAAGAGCAGGAAGGAACTCAATACAATTAGTATTGAAGATCCTCTTGAACGCGTTAAGATGGTACAAGAGGATAATCAATATTGCAAAAAGATGCAACATTGACGTACATAGGTATGATAAGGCTATACCAATATATTCTGGCTTGTCTATACAACATGACATCATAGTAGGCTCTATGACGTGAACTTTAGAGATAACGATTTCTTAAACATTTATAATTATTTGAAATTTTATTTCAATTCCTAGAAATAAATTGAAACATGCAAACCAATACAAATTAAATCATGATTTTTTTTTCATGATATAAAAAACGAATTATTTGTAACTGGGGTTAAATTCCTAGCCTATGGCATCATATCTTTTGATCAAATATTCGCCAGGTGAAAATAAAACAAAACGAGAAAGCATGTAAACAAATATATGAAATGGGAGTTTAAAAGAATATACAGTGAATATCATGTGCGATTTATAAGGAATTAATGTTTAAAAATCATGTATGCTGATTGATTTTCATCATTTTTTTTTCTTACAATAAGGACAGGTAGGTTTTGAAATCCAGATCAGCATTTTCTCTGTCGTCCTCAACTACAGAGATGCAAAAGTTCAACAGAGCGCTGCATTCTTTGAAACATGATTTTTGTCGATATTGAAAGCTTGTATTCTATAGTAGTTGGAAAGTGCGCTAGAATCATGTAGTTAACATGAATTGATGAAAATTCTTCGATCTTCTTTACAAATTGCTAAAATTTTTGGTAAGACTTCATGCGAAAGTGTGGAATACAGTACAGTAAAACATGCTTATAACGAAATCCCAGGGACGGAGGATTTTGCTTCGTTGAAAGCGTACCGTTCAAGGTAGCTCAGTCGGTAGAGCGCTCGCTCCGTGATCGGGAGGTCGTGAGTTCGAATCCCGGCCGACTGACCTAAGTCGATAAAAAATGGGCAGCAACTGTTCCTTCGCCATGCGCTCGGCACTTTCAAGTGAAAGTTGCGTGTCCTTCGGATGAGACCTTAAAAACTGAGGTCCCGTGTCACGGCAGACGTTGGTACGATAAAGATCCTTCACTGCTCAATGGTCCTGAGTGCCGAGTAAAGGTCAAAATTTGAAGCCCTTCACCGGTACAGGTGACGTCTCTATATGACTGAAAAATTCTGGAATGGGACGTAAAACAACATACAATCAATCAATCGTTGAAAACGTAATTCGTTATATCCCTTGACTTTACAAGATGTTTTATAGCCACGAGGAATGAAAACCACTTCGCTGTAAGCGTCAATTCGTTGTAAGCGTGTTTTACTGTATTTTTTTCTGCGACAGGAGAGTATCTAGCGGCATTTTCATTACTGCGAGATATTTTTTTCATAATTATTTCTACAAAAGGAAATTAATGTTGAACTTTGCACTTTTCATTAAGACATTTATCTATCTATAGATAAGACGTGATGGCGTCGTAGTGGAATGCTTCATATAGCTTAGTCTCATTGATATATAATGAATAATAATACTAAATGTTTATCCATGGCTTTTCCGATTTATCCAGCCTTAAGGGTAAATTTTAACAATGAAAAATGTGAATTTCCCGAATACTGATATGAGTGCTGCATTAACGTAACTGCGATACAAAATGTCTTGATCTTTTTTTTTTCTTACAGATCTGACACTTTGTAAAATAAAATCTCTTCACCATATCATTTGATTAAGCAGTTTCAATATAGATGTCTATCTCTTTTTGAATCGTGTTACACTCGAGCAGACTTTAATTGTATGTCTATCATATGAATAAGAAATAAAGTTTTATGAAAAGCTTAACAAGATTTTTTTTCCTATTTATCACATGCATTTACACTCAGGATGAATTCCAATTTATCAACGACAAAAAACCCAGCTTAATTGCTAACCCTTTATTGTGCTAGTTAGATTAAGACATTCAAATGAGCATTTTAATTCTAAATGCGATAAAATAGTACAGATACAATAAGTTGTTGAAAAAATATTTAATAAAGTACTTGCTTTCCATATAACCATATGTTTAAGTAAATGCTACCAGAGGCATACTGCACATATAACATATTGATTTATTTTCATACGATATTATCTTTTTTGGCTCAATAAAAATATCAGTTGTAACTATTATAGGGAAGTAATTCATGGACAGATAAATTTAGATATATCATACAGTCAGTCAACGAAAACAGGCAGCGTTCTTCCTTTTTCTTTTTGTCACTTTTTGGCGATTTGAAGAGATATGCAGGGGAAAAAGTATGAAAATTATTACTACACAACTAATTCTGCAACAGAGCTTGGATTTGTTTTTGTGTACTATTATCATTTCTTGGAAACCCAATTTTATCATGAGACCAAGAATCAAGGGGGGGGGGGGGGGCAAAACAAAATATATTATAATATCTATATGTTTCAGTATAATTTTAATTATTTTATTTATTTTATATATTTTATATATTTATTTATGTTTGGAAATCAGTGTAAAAAATAATAAGTTTCACTCAAATCTCAGTACTTTGGAGATACATGTACTTTAAATTCACTTATTTTCGTGGTGTAATTTTTTTGTGGTTATTTGTAGAAAGAAAATGTATTGGTGTGGAACTGGTTTTTTCCTCTGTTTGAAGAAGTTATGAACAGATGTATATTTGAAATGTTACATGCAAGATTATGAATTCATGGGTCACTTCATAACACAAGAACAACGAAAATTAAACCCATTCAATAAATAAGTACGTAATTTGACAGGATATAAATTTTAAGCACGCTTTTTTCCATGTATCATTTTTTTAATTTTTACTCTTCTAATAGAATATCTGATAAACAGATGAATAGTGAAATGTCTAAGCCTATTATATCATAATTATGTGAGTGTCACATTTTCTAGAAAATTTCGTTGGTGGATCAATGGTCACACAAAAAGACTTTTAAGCATCAACATTGAGTTGACAGTGTTAGAGGAACTGTTAGCTTTGTTGTTAATTGGTTTACTCTCTGTTTATAACTAAAAACAAGATCAGTGCAATCGTCTACAGTTCAATTTGTGTGAAACAAATCATTACTTTTAAATAAAAATATGTTTTAAAGAGACCTGTACATCATTTTAAAAAAAATACGTTAAAGTCATAGTTGCAGAGGATGTTGCAAACAACTTTATTTCTCCTGGCAACCTTTTGCATAACCTGGATAGTGGCATGGAATGTCACACTTTTTGCTTTTTTGTCCCACTAGGCATGTCGATTCTTTCAGAAAATGATTAAATCATGGCGATTTTCTCATTA